AGAAGTAAAATCAGAAGTAAAATTGCATAAAAATTCATAGGTAAATTTCACACAAAAAAGTCATAAGTAAAATTGCACCACTAAAAAATTGAGGTGTTAGATTCATTTGAGAAATAAGATCAGAGATAAAATTATACATTTATTCCACTTTTTATTAACCTTTACCCCACATGTGAGCCTTGTACATCTTGTTGTTGGACTTTTAGTAATATGATCACAATTCTTGCAGTCTTGTTGAACTCATCAAATATGTTTCCTCCAAATAAATGGACTTTAATTTTTTAAGCTCTCTTTTATAGTTTTGATTCTTACTCTTGTTATTGAGCCTCCAGTGTCTTGTAATTGGTCTTTTGAAATATTGAACTTCCATTTTTAAGCTTGGCCTCTTGTTCCACTCCTTGCTCTTCCTTTAAAGCTTACTCATCCTTTATATCCTTTAAAGCTGAACAAATATTTCAAACGAAGATAGACATGAACATTTCAACAACCTCTGACCATGTGGATAAGCAAACTTGGAAGGAAGACAAACAAAAAGACTATAATGCTTTGTCAAATTTTAAATATAAGAGTTAGTCGAAGGAGTTTTGAATTTTCTTTATTCTTGAATATAACAATGTCAATCTAATTTGTTTTCCAAATTTATAATTTTTTTCAAACTATTTATCTTAATTACATAGATTTTCCATTAATAGGATTAGTTTCTAATGCAAATGGTTAAATGAATTAGTTTGAAAAAAATAAATTAACGTAGATGTTTTAGAGATAACTAGTTTTACTATTTTTTTAAATATATATGAGTTAATTATCTAATAGAGAATATTAAAAGAGAAAGCACACAAGAAAAAAAAACTCCTAAAAGGATAAAGAAAGGAAAAAACAAGACACCTGTTAGGTCAATTCAAAATTATTTTCTTAGATCTTCTTATGAAGATCAAAATAATAATGTATTAAAATAATTTTTTTAACTAATAATATTTCAATATTACATTGTTAATTTAAATTTTTACCTATTTATATGAAGTTTAAATGTAAATTTAAAAAATATTTATGTCCTTATGTGTGCATATTTTATATATATATTTTTTTTGATATATGTACCTCAATAGACAATTCATTTAATAATAATGTTAGTTATTACGCTCAAGTGGCATGGTTAGGGGACAATCTTGGGCTAGAAAGGCCCAAATCTTGAAAAACCAATCCTTCGCATGAAGGTTATAAGAAAAACCTAATAATTGGGATTTCTTATAAATTATAGAGTATAAAGGATTATAAGTATTCCAAAAATATTTGGGTACATTTTTAATATAAGTATTCCCGTCATGTGTTGATAGATAACATTTAATAAATAAATGAAATTTAAGCTCTCTCTCTTGCCTTGATTAATGAAATATTAATTATCGTGAAAATACCCAACTCAGTTAATAAATATTGCTATATATGAGAAACTTAATTTAAGTTGCTTCAGAGAGAAATTAACTATAGCACATGAAAATAAGGCAGGTAAATGAATTTCTTTGTTTGCTCGACATGAATTTCATCATATTTTCTTTTTCTTTTCATTATACTTTAGGAGAATTGAAATTGTTTCGTCGAGATAGAGATGGAAATAAGGAAGTTCCCACTAACAACAAAACAATAAATTTGGCCAAAGTAATAGTTATGATTATTTTAAAAATTAAACTTAATATGTAAATATTTGAAAATATTTTATTAATATTTAAGATCTTAATGTCATCATTTTTGTGAATAATATTAGGGGTTAAAGGATTAGAAGTATACTTCTTAAAGTTAATAGATCAAATTGAAACTTTTTATAAAGTTAAGCATATTAATGCAAAAAATTTTCATTATTTAAAATATATCTAATGTGATTTTGGGTTAGATCGTTCCATTCTATTTTCATTCCCATTCCTTTTTCTATTCGTTTATAATCCGTTGTAATATACCAAACATACGATAGAATAATTTTAATTGTGTAGCTGACGAGAAAATGATTTTTTTGGGTATATATTATAAATTAGAGGAAAAAAATTTACAGCTCTTTTTCATGAACATTTCGTAAGCACCCTCTTAATAATTTCATAATCGTTTAGTTGTTGAATTTATATACAGTAATATACATGCCATTTCATAAATCTTTGACCGCATGACAGTGAACACATCAGAAAATTTCAAGAAATTTTGGTTGAAATTAAATTGGGAAAATCACTAACAGGTCCCACAGAAGGCAATTTATTACTCTGAGGTCCCACAAAATGTCAAAATCACTGACAGGTCTCAAGGGACCTCAGAGTAATATTTTCATTTTGTAAAATGACATTATTGCCCCTCATATTCCAGATTCACATTTGCTCTCTCATTACGATTTACAACCTCAGCAACGACTATTAACAACTTAATGAGAGGGAGTTAACAACCCTAGCAGTATCCGTTAACAACTTACTTTATAGAATTATATAACCTCTACATAAGAGTAAATTATAACCAAATAATATAATACAACAACTTTAACACTAAAATGGAAAGTTTTTTGATATCATTAAGAATTTTAACTAGATCTAATAGGATTATAGTAATATTTTAATGCGAAGATCCATTTACAACCTCAACAGTGACTATTAACAACCGAATGAGAAGGCATTAACAACCTAAGCAGTATCAGTTAACAACTTACTTTATAGAATATATAACCTCCGCATAAGAGTAAATTATAACCAAATAGTATAATACAACAACTTTAATATTAAAATGGGAAGCTTTTTGATATCATTAAAAATTTTAACTAAACCCAATAGGATTATAGCAACATTTTAATGCTAAGATCCATTTACAACCTCAATGGTGAGTATTAATAACCCAAAGAGAGCTGTTGACAATCTAGGCAGTATCTATTAACAATTGACTTTATAGGATAATATAACCTCTAACAACTATATAAGATTAACTTTAAGACTATTTAGTTATAGTTTAGTTAGTTATAGTTAGAAGTTATATTATTCGATAAAGTTAGTTATTAACAGACACTGCTAAGGTTGTTAACAATTCTCTTTAGGTTATTAATACTTACTGTTGAGGTTGTAAATGGATTTTCGCATTAAAATGTTGCTATAATCCTATTGGGTTTGGTTAAAATTCTTAATGATATCAAAAAGCTTCCCATTTTAGTGTTAAAGTTGTCGTATTATACTATTTGGTTATAATTTACTCTTACGCGGAGGTTATATAATTCTATAAAGTAAGTTATTAACGGCTACTGCTTAGGTTGTTAATGCCCTCTCATTCGGTTGTTAATAATCGTTGTTGAAATTGTAAATGGATCTTCGCATTAAAATATTACTATAATTCTATTGGATTTAGTTAAAATTCTTAATGATATCAAAAAGCTTCCCATTTTAGTGTTAAAGTTGTTGTATTATACTAAATGGTTATAATTTACTCTTATGCAGAGGTTATATAATTCTATAAAGTAAGTTATTAACGGCTACTGCTTAGGTTGTTAATGCCCTCTCATTCGGTTGTTAATAATCGCTGTTGAGATTATAAATGGATCTTCGCATTAAAATATTACTATAATCCTATTGGATCTAGTTAAAATTCTTAATGATATTAAAAAGCTTCCCATTTTAGTGTTAAAGTTGTTGTATTATATTATTTGGTTATAATTTACTCTTATGTAGAGGTTATATAATTCTATAAAGTAAGTTATTAACGGATACTGCTAGGGTTGTTAACGCCCTCTCATTAGGTTGTTAATAGTCGCTGCTGAGGTTGTAAATCGTAATGACAGAGCAAATGTGAATCTGGAATATGAGGGGCAGGAATGTCATTTTACAAAACAAAAATATTACTCTGAGGTCCCTTGGGACCTGTCAATGATTTTGACATTTCGTGGGACCTCAGAGTAATAAATTGCCTTCTGTGGGACCTGTTAGTGATTTTCCCAATTAAATTTTGGTTCCCACTCATTTGGGATTTTGACTTTTTAGAACAGGTTTCATACGCATAATGGGCAAAATAATATTTTTATCATGTGGCAAAAACATGAGAAGCAATTATGAACAATGATGTCAAGGGAACAATAAATATTATGCATCTTGATATATTTGTCATGCCAAAAAAAAAAATTTCGTTGAATTACGTCAAACTTCTAAACTTTTTTCCCTTTGGATTACAGAATTTAAGCATTAACTAAGATAAACATTATAAGTTATTTAGAAATTGATGTACACCATGTTCCGTAAAGCAATTAACATTTTCATAAAACTTTGGCAATACTGTACCTTTTAGTCCATAATTTTATACAATGTTTCATTTTGGTTCATTAATTTTATAAAGTGTACTTTCACTTCTCTAATTCTAAATCTATTAGTTTTATTAATAAAAAGTGCCACCATTAAAATTTTAAATGCTGATTGCTGACAAAACATTTTCAAACACTAACAAATTAAATTTAATTAATTATTAAAAATAACAATGGTTGACAACAAAATAATTCATTTGAGAGTTGAGACAAACTGTGTTAAGGTTGGAGAAATGAAAACATGCTTTATAAAATTAAGAACTCAAACTAAAATATTTTGTAATGTTAGCAGACAAAATATATATGCTTTTGCATAAAACTTTCATAAACCTTCTAAACCTTTTGTTGGGTTATGTCTCGAAAGCTTCAAACAATTCTGATACAACTTTGATGAAAATTGGACGCATTTTTCGTAAAATTTTCATTTGCATACACTTATTATTAATTTGTGCTACATCTTCGCAACGGTTTTCATTTGCACAAACTTTCCATTAACCTTTAACCTGTGAATAAGCAAATTAAACTTCATTAAACCATTTTCACAAAATGCAATAATCTTGGGGAAATTTTGATTAAGCTTTGAAGAAATTTAAACAGATTTTCACACAAGAAATGTTCATATACACACGTCTAAGATCTTTATAAATAGAACAACAGATTCCGCAACTAAGAAAGCAAAGAGCAAAATAAGATTAGGAAGAAGCAAACAAACATTATAAATCCCAAAATATTTGGTGTTGCTATATTCTGTTGTTAAGGCAGAATGGGTGATTCTCAACAAGGTTCAAAAAAGGAAGATCTCGCAGACCTTGCGGGGTATGGTGAAGTCTATGAGAGGTCTCCTGAAGCTTCTTCAAGCTCAAAAGAGAGCAAGAAATCAACTCTTGAAGAGAACGCTGGTCATGGTGAAACTCATGAAACCACTGAAACTTCAAACTCAAACGAAAGCAAGAAAACAACTCTCGAAGGGCATGCTGGCCATGGCCGAAAGTAAATAATTACAACTCATTCATATATATGCCAGGTAATTTATTACTTTTATCATATTTTTGTACACTTTGAATGATTTCTTGACCCTTTTTTTTGTTTGAAGGGAGGGAAAATTTTAATGAAATAATCAATTTGAAAAAATGGTGGAGAAGTGAGGTTGATAATTTTCAACAAATTCTCCTTACTCTTTCTTTCTATTAAAACCTTGTAATAACCCACTTATCCAATTTTTTTTTAAAAAAATTGAACTCATTAATTTTTTTTTTCCAACTCACCTTCCTGGCTCCATTCTCTCGAAACCAAATAAAGGGTTTGGTTTATTTGGTTTATCATGAGAATACAAAAACCCTCTACCATGAACAAGAAACTTTTTAATTTTTCAAGAAAGTTGATTTTACCTCACTAACAAATTCAATAAAATAGACAAATTTTAATGATCTTGATTTATGTATGCTCATCATGGGGTTGTGCTACGAGTACTCACATTGAAAAATTTCACAAGTGTTATAGGGAAGTTCAAGGGATTTCTATCCTAATAGGCTATTTTTTTTAGATTGAGCTTTTTGTTTTTGTTTATGTTTATTATATTGATGTTTTTATTGAGAGTTGGCTAATTAGAGAGGACTCCCCACAAAGGGTTCTGATGGGTTGTCCCTTTTCATAAACTAGTCTTTTGAGATTGGACTCTTTGTTTGAACTTATACGCAACATAGGTTGTTAAGTAATGGGTGTAAAAATTAAAAAGAACTAATCAACAAGGAGATAATTCAACATTTTTTATATGATTTTATAATGCATTTTCCTTTTAATTTTCATGCAGGTTAACGAAGCTGATGGAAGAATGTTGGAAGGAATATCAAGTTATTTGAAGTCTTTTATTTTATTTACTTCTTTTAAATTTCTGGTTTAAATATATGTAAGTTATTGTCTCCAGGCTTATTAAGTAGTTCGGTTGGACGAAAAAAAATATTAAGTAGTTTGAAACTGTCACCCGTTCTTGTTTAATGTTTATGCTTGTGTACTCGCATCATTTCTATGCATAAATAAAATAAATTATTTGACTAAGATAAGAGTAAAGTCGTAAAAATACCCATTATATTTTTCAAAAAGCACAGCTGGCACCACCATCAAGTATTGGGTGGAAAAATACACATAAATTTTTTAAAATAGAAAGAAAGTGTTATGTCTGTTAATTCTTCTAAATGTTCGTTATTTTTTCAATACATATTTTTGTAAAGGTATAAAAATATGTTGTTAATCGTCTTGCCAGAGACTGAGTAAGTTCATGAGAAATTATGAATCTCAAGAAAAAATTTGCTAAAGAATATGTATGTATGAAAATTTCATCAGCAGTTGATGCTGAAATATTTTTCAATAGTACCTAATATCCTAAATTAATTTTTTATGCATTTGATTTCCTGAAATATTTTTATTATAGTATTAGGTATTATGAAATAATTTTCAGTTTATTCAGAAGCTTAAATTATTTTTCAAGCAACTCTCATTATTCTAAAGTAGTTTTTTGTGCATCAAACATTCTAAGTTATCTTTTAACAACACTTAAAATTCTAAGTTTAGAATGTTTGTTGCTGTTGAGAAAAATGCTTTAAAGGTAAAATTCCACCGAAAATTACAAATTACTTTAGAATAGCGGATGCTACTGAACAAATATTTTAGAGAGTTAAAAACATAAAAATTATTTTAAAATACTTAATATTGTTCGAATAATACTATAAGGTGGTGCTTCATGCTACTTAACTCTTTTTTTGTTTTTGTTTTTTTGGTCTGTTATAGTGGCTATATTTCGAAAGTCACTCTTTGTTGGGGAAAAAAGGATAAGCAAACTTGGAAAGAAGTATAAAAGGGATTATAATATTGTACCAAAAAAAGTCCATAACATGAAAAGAGCCTTAAAAAATTTCCTGAACAGATAATATTTAAATATACGTTTCAAGTGTATAATTTTAACAATTTTCAAAGTTAGAACTAAATCTGTCACTATCAACAAGCTACTAAAGTTGAGCTAGAGGTCTCTGTATCCAATAAACCCAACACGACTAATCAAAGAAGCTTTGGCTACTCAGTCAGCAATCAGCTTATCTAGAAACCTATTTAAAAGAGTGGTGATTAATATAATTACTTGGGAAGTTAAATTTTATTCATTTGTTCAGAATTGGAATGGTTTTCACATGACACTGATAACTATGGCTAGAGCCGTCAAAACGGGCTACACCCATCGGGCCAGCCCTTTTAAGCCCTTTTAAGTGGAGGGCCGGGCTTATATTTTAGGTGATTTAAAAGGAAATTGGGCTTAAAAGGACTAGCCCTATAGGGCTCAAAAATAAAAGGGTCAATCTTTTAGGGCCAAGGGCTAGCCCTTTTAAGCCCGTCTATTTTTTTTAATTATTATCAATATATTTATAAAGTTATAAATTAGTCTTTTATGAATAAGTTTAAATTAGAAAAATACTTAGAAGAATCAATACTCAAGCTAGATAATTGAAAAGAATTAGATGTCTTGGACTTGTGGAAGAATAATTAAAATCAATTTTCAATTCTTTCAAGAATGGTAGCTGATATTCTTAACATTTTAATCACCATAATAGCTAGTAGATCTTCATTTACCATTGGTTTACATATCTTAACAAAGTGTAAAATTTTTCTTATTCGAACAAATGTTCAGGCTCTTATTTGTACTTATAACTACTGTATAGTTTTATTTTAGATAAGGTAAATGAAGACAAAAACCTTAATATTTTTATCACTGAAGAAGAACTCACTTATAGTAAAGAACAATCAAATATTACTGATCTTGATGATACTGATGAAGATGAAGATAAAGATAATAATGATGTTGATATTATTAATCTTTAACGGCTAGGTTTTTATCTTTCTTTTTTCGTGTTTTGTTATATTTCAATTTTTTTTATTTTGGACAATAGTTTATTGGCATTTAATTTTTTTCTCTATACACCACTAATTTATTTTATTTATATTTATAATTTGAATAAAAAATCTTAGAAGTTTCGTTGTTTTATTTTTTATTTTAAAATAATTAAAAAGAATTTAAATTTTAAAAAATAACATAAAAGGGTCAGCCCTTTTAAGCCTTAAGCCCGCATGTCCAAGGGTCGGGCTTTAATAATTAGATAATTTTAAGGTATGTGGGCTTTAAAGGGCCGGCCCTTTTAGGCCCTGGCCCTTCAAGGGCTAGCCCTTTAGGGCCGGGCTGGCCCTTATTGACAGCTCTAACTATGGCTGGACTTTCTTGTTGGGTAGAACTGGTAAAAGGGAAAAAGGCAAAGAGGAGGTTCTAGTGTTGTTCGGTTTCCTTAAGTGACTTTAAATTTAATTTGAGACGCGATACCGGAACTCAAATCTTAAAAACCCAATTTTTGAATGAAGTTTCCAAAGCAAATCTAGTAGACAGCATTTCTGATAAATTAAAAAGTACAAATAAAAAGGATAATTAATCTCTGAGTCTTTATAGTTTTATATGATCTTTAATTAGGTTCCTATAATTTTTTTAATTAAATCTTTTTACTTTCACGTGTTTTTAATTAGGCTCCTTCATTTTTGTTTATTAGGTCCTTATAGTTTTCCTTATTTTTAAATTAGGTCCTTCGTAGTTTTAAAAAAATATTTATTAACTTTATTCTTTAAAATTATTTTCATTTTTAAATAAATAATTATATAATTGGACAAAATAATTAATATAATAATTTATTTATTAATTAATCAGAATAATCAATTATAGTTAACTATAAATTATTTATAATTACATTCTAATTTTAGAAAATTTTATTTTTATAATTTGAATTTTATAATTAAAAAATAGAATTGAAAAATAAATAATTCATATGTGTAACTAAAAATTTAAAAGAATATTAACATAAGATTATCATGGTACTTTATTATTTATAGAATATTATTATTTATAGACTAAAGAACAAAAACTACAAGGATCTAATTATAAATAAGATAAAACAATAAAGACCTGATAAAAAAAATAAAAACATGATTAAAAACATGTGAAAATTATGAGGACCGGATAAAAGTGAAAAAAAAAATTATAGGGACCTCACTAAAACTGATTAAAACTATAATGACTTACCTATTAATTATTCTTAAATAAAACAGTGGTATGTGTAATACAATTTTTAATTTTGACAAATGTTTGTGCAGATTTTTTAAAATAATTATTTCTGTCATTTGATGAAAACATTTCAACACGTGTTGATAATGCATAGTTTAATTTTCATTTTCTATCATATTTAATAATTAATTATTTTGCAATCCTTTTAAAAAAAATTATAAACACATATAATATATTTCTTCATTCTTTTCTAAAAATTATTCAAAAATTTCAATCAAACTTTAAATATTTTCCTTAATTGATTTATATTTCTTCCTAGCCTTAATCAGATTTTTTTTTGGGAAACAATTGTTGATACATATATCATGATGTACGTGGGAATGCGTTTTGTGTGTGTGTGTGTGTGTGTGTGTGTGTGTGTGTGAACTTGCATCCGAGCTTTTTTTAATTATTTCTACTTAATAATTTACTCAACCTCCTCGTTAATGATTTCTCATTTACTAGTATTCTGTCTTGGGAATTTGAAAATAATAATTCATCAAAAAATTGAAAATCATAATATTATTTTCAATCCTTACTATAAGACCTAATTAAATAATTTAAAAAGATTAAAAAGGATCAATAAATTACTTAATTATAGTATATGTCACATAACTTCTCTGAAATATATATATATGTATATGATTAGATTATATGTTAGTTTATAATTAAGTTAGGCCAATCAGTTTGAAGTAAAACGATAAATATAAATATTTCAAACTAATTTATTTATTTTTTTTAATATTTTCAAATTAATTGTTTAGGTTTTATATTAATAACAGGAGGTAATAGCATTCTTCTGAGCTTCAAATGAGAGTTTCTTTTGTTAAATTTCGAAGAAAATAGATCAGAACGCCAAAACGTATAATTTTAATCACATGTAATTTAACATCTTTACTGGCTTGGTTAATTAAGTATTAATCTTTATGGAAATTCATTACCCATTTTAGAATTTTTTTTAAAATAAAAAAACTGCAAGTGTGTTTGCTTCGCAGTAAAACTAATTAAAGGAAATGAAAATGAAGTACGGCATCTGAAATTCTTTGTTGTTTTTTTTTTTTTTACATGAATGTGTTTATATTTCTCTTTCTATTTCATTAAACTTTGGAAGAATTGAAATTGTTTCATGGAGACAAGGAAGTCAACAATATCAAGAAAAAACCACCAGAAAAAAGGGATTATGACAGACCTGCAACAAAATTTGCGACGGATTTGTAATGATTTGAGTTTTTGCAATAAGAATTGGGAAAATGACAAATAAAGAAGGCTGAAATTAAGATATTCTAATTTCATTGAAAATGACACAAAGGAAATTATTTACAAATTAGAATTTTGAAATTTAGGAAAAATGACAAAAATATTCCTTTATTTAGGGAAAAAAAAACAATTCAAATCCTTGCCGAAGTCGGCCACCGGTGTGGTGGCTGCCAACAGTGTTTTTTGGTGACATATTTTTATTTTGCCATGTGAGAAATTATTTAAGAAAAAAGGTGGGGGTAGAATTTGATCCCAATATCCCTTGGTTATTTGGGCTAACAAAGGGAAAGATGAATATTAGGACACTAATGATTTGTTAACCTTATAAAGTTAAAAAAAAAAAAAAGAAATATAAGTTAACTCTTATACTATGGCTTTGGCCCGTGACAACAATTTATCTGGGAATAAAAAATCTTGATTTGGAAATGACAATTCTAAATTTAATATTAACAAGACTTTTTTTTCCTAATACATAACAGAAAATAACATATGCATTAATTAAAAAAGAAAACAACTGAAAATAATATGTCTTGATTGAGAAATAACTAGTCTAAATTTAAGATTAATAATATTTTTTCCTGATACATAACAAGATATAACATATGGATTAATTAAAAATGATAACAATTTATCTGAGAATGACATGTCTTGATTGGAAAATGACAAGTCAAAACTTGA